TCATAATTCTATATATATGCTTGTTTGCTTAGTCCATTTAATGGTATTGACAATACAATAATATAAATAAATCACACGTTTATTATATATATCCAGTTTATATACTCACATTTCTCAGTTATAAATAATATTTATACGAGATATATATATATATATATATATATATATATATATATATATATATACATATATATATAATATATATATATACACACACACACACATATATATATATATATATATATAAATACAATAGACACACGATTGTCCATTCTGTCAAGATTAATTTATAATATTTACAGAATTTTTAATAGCTAGTTTTCGGAAATTTGAGGAGAAACTGCATTGGCATAACATCGCATATCGATTATGCGAATAATAGTATTGAAAACGAATAGAAACCTGTGATTACATCTCGCATCTACAGCATTTACAGATAACTCTTGCCATTTACTCAAATTTTCGAAAACTATTACTAACGTTTCCTGCTAATTTGCGATTAATAACGACGATAGATTACGTATCGTAATATTTTTAATTATAAAGACACGATACAAAAGTTCTCACATTGTATATTTTAATTTAATCTCGCATTGATAATAAATGCCAAATCGTGCATGAAAACTTGCGAATGATGCGATAAAGGATGCTTACAAAGAATTTAATTGATAAACCTAAAGAAAATATTTTCAAAAGCCAATTATTAATAAAAATAATGTAAAAGTATAAAAGAAAGGTACAGAAAATACATATAGTGTTAGAGCCCATAAGAAGCAGGAGTTTAGAAAGGTAATCGATTTACAAAACTTCTATTTTGAATCAGGAAATCTGGTCTTTATTTCCAAAAATATCTCGCCCACGTCTGGACTGCCCAAAACTGCCTGCAAATACAAATAAAAAGAACTGTGAGAACTTTTTCGGTATATAAACCGCAAAACTTATCCCCGACGCGGAGTCCGCTCACGGTGACACAACAGCGGAGCTTTTAAGAATCTCACTCGTATACAGTTTGTCCATTCAGGGTTTTCATTGCGAAATTGGATTGTTCAATGAAAAAAAATAATAAAGATCGCAATAACAAAGACCACACTCTTTTAAAAGGTCAAACACTTTATTTAATATGAAGGTGTGCACCTGGGGGATTTAGGATATACAAAAATTCATATTATCTAAGCTTGAATGTATATCTTCTGCGACAACGCTTGTGATTAAAGTACCCCTTCCAATACCCAACTAAACCTCTGCCTAGACAAACGAGTTGTAATCGCGGTGATAAAAGCATCGAACAAAAAATGCTGAACATAGATCGGATCATCCAGTTAGAAATATCTTGAGGAGAAACAGATGGATTGAAAAATCTCAAAAGGATAGATTTCAAGATCTCTATAGTAACCATTGCAATGGGGTAAAAATATAAATCAAGTCCGGACAAAGTAAAATCTTTGACCTGTTGCAATAGGGATAATATATAATCAAATTGCACCGGGCTGCGCTCTTTACACTTTAGTTCTATTCTTTCCACCCTGTAGCGTGATATATTGTAATATTATTATTAAAAATCAAAATAAAAATAATCCCGACCAGCCAGTACCGACAATATGGTAATAATATTAATATTTATAATAGTATTAATAGCAATAATGATAGGAATAATAGTAATAATAGTAGTAGTAGTAATAGTAGTAGCAGAGCAGCAATATCGATAGCGGCAACAGTAGTAATATACTAATAGTAATAATGTTGTACTACTAACTCCTGTAGCGCAACAGATAGCTATTTCCGTAATCTACTATCATAAATCGAAACGAATACGAAAATGTTGGAATATTTTGGTAGATCGCGTTTACATAAGCGATATAGTTCATCAACTCACTCATATATATACTCACACACCATGAGAGATCAGCTGAGAGCTTCTTATTTCACTTACTTTTTATTATTTTTTTTTTATTATAATGAATTATAGCCAATAAAATTGGGCTTAGATCAAATCAGCGACGTTCATTGGCATCTCATCGATGTGAGTGTTGTAAAATTGTTCAATATCTTTTAACGTTCTCTTATCATCCTCCGTCACGAAGTTAATGGCCACACCTTTACGGCCAAAACGACCACCACGACCAATTCTGTAATGTGAAAAAGAAAGATTATCATAACGTAACATAAAATTCCAACGTTTTAGTGAATATAAAAAACGATAGTAAAAACGCTACATTCTTCTAAAGTTGCTAAGATTGACATTACGTCAATATTTCTATACTTTCTGAAAATACATAGCTTGTCTTTTTAAATATTTTATCGGAATATCTAATTTAGTTATCCATATTAATTGCTCAAATTAAGTTAAAAATATATATGGAATCTCTCGCTAGCTTATATGTATATATGTGTATATATATATGTAAAATTTAATATACGCACATACATACATATATATATACACACACATCTTCATAAGAAACATTATTTCCTGTTTAAAAATTATATAATAATCTTATTTCGTGATTAAAATTTGTTTTGCTCAAACTTACACTTTATTAATTCTACAAGATTGTAATTTAAATTATGAATATTTTTATTATGTAATATATAATTTACCTGTGAATGTAATTTTCACGATTAGAAGGCAAGTCATAGTTAATGACCAGCGACACTTGCTGTACATCTATACCACGCGCCAGAAGATCGGTAGTAATCAAAACTCTGGATGACCCAGTGCGGAACTGCCTCATAATGAGATCTCTTTCTTTTTGTTCCATATCTCCATGCATAGCCGAGACAGTAAAATCTCGTTTATGCATACTCTCAGTCAACCAATCTACTTTACGGCGCGTATTACAGAAGATAACAGCCTGAGTAATACTCAGAGTATCATATAAATCGCAAAGAGTTTCCAATTTCCAATCTTCACGCTCAACGTAAACGAAAAATTGCTTAATGCCCTCTAAGGTGAGTTCCTCTTTCTTAACCAAAATACGAATGGGATTTCTCATAAAGCATTTGGATACATCCAAAACGTCTGACGGCATTGTGGCAGATAATAGAATAACCTGGAATAGATAATCAAGTTGCATGAGACATGAAAACCAAGCTGTTTGTGAAAAACCATGTGTTGATACAATGTGATAATCAATATTACATGTTGATGGAAGAAATAAATAATCGGCATATATATTAATATGCCGAGTTGTTATATAAATAACTATACATGTGCAATATAAAGTAGCATCATGCTGTAACAGCTATTGTAAATTATTGCTGCTATCACAGAGATATTAAAAGTGACTAATCCATCTTAGGACATTAACGATCATTATTAGGAGTGCTATGCCATGATAATTGTTTGCATTTTAGGCAACTATTACTTCCAGACAAAAAAATATATAATACATTCGATGGTAACAGTGTATGTCAAACCTATAATATAAATTTGACACTGTTACGACGCACCTGTATCTTATAATATATTTGTTAACTTGACTACTATAAGGTATACCGCAACTTTTTCGTCTTGTACGATTTGTGGACTTGTCCAAAAAAGATACTTTCTAATAATTAAAATAAAATTATCTATTAGATGGTAATTGTAGTCAAACAAATCTATAATGCTAAGAAAAAAATATCTCATATACCTGCACTTCATTGGGCAATAACTTGAAAACGTCGTGGATTTGATCTTTGAATCCTCGCGACAACATCTCGTCGGCTTCATCCAATACAAACAGTTTAATGCTGCTTGCGCGTAGCGCTCTTCGACTAATCATATCGTAAACTCTTCCGGGTGTACCAACCACCACATGGACACCCTGGTCTAATTTACGCATATCTTCACGTACATTGGTACCACCGATGCACGCGTGGCATTCAGCATGCATAAAATCACCTAGCGCAATAACGACCTTCTGGATCTAAATAGAAATTAAAGTATTTTATATTAGAGTTCAATATTCCTTTAATTCTAATAGAATTTTTTATTCAAGATATTGAACAAATCATTTACTTGCTGAGCTAACTCGCGAGTTGGTGCGAGAATCAAAGCCTGACATTCTTTAATACTAGTATCGATTTGTTGAAGAATCGATATCGAAAATGTTGCAGTTTTGCCAGTACCTATGGATTGTTAAAAATTTATAATATTGTATAATATATGCTCTCTCTCTCTCTCTCTCTCTCTCTCTCTCTCTCTCTCTCTCTCTATATATATATATATATATATATATATATATATATATATATATATATATATATATATATATATCAACATGTCACACATTACAAATCTGCATAAGCTTCTTACCAGATTGGGCCTGAGCAATAACATCGAGTCCTCTAATGCATGGCAAAATGGCACGTTGTTGAATTGCCGATGGCTTTTCAAAACCATAAGCGTATATTCCACGCAACAGTTCTTCTTTCAAGTTCATTTCATCAAAATTTTCGACAACCTATTTATGTTAAAGTATATATTTTATAAACTATCAAAGAAACTATACGTATGATGACTACATAATTTCATAAAAATATATTATTGTTGGCAAAAATCTGTGAGTTTTCTTAGAAGAAAAATTGATATAAATATAATAAGATAATCACTATTTCGCATGGAAATATTATATATTAATTTTTCAACTTTAACTAAACTATACTCAACTTTAAATAAACTAAATATGTCAAGATTACTCAATTGTTTAGAAATCCGAAAGAAAATTGTTACAATAAATATGTAACAAAATTATTAAATTTTTTTAATTAATTCTCCTAATAATTCTATAAATCATGAAACAACAATATATAACACTTAATAGCAAGGCTAATTAGAAGTAAAAAAATCAATGATGAAATAAATATTTCAAAGAATTTTCTTGAAATAGTAGCAGTTATCCCTACTAGATTATATTATAAGGAAGAATATGTATTCTCAACTCAGAATTATCTTATCTCAAGATAAGAAATTCTTCACATAATAATAAATGAAAGAGAAAATTCTGTTATTCTTTAATATATAATTACAAGGTAGCAGATAGTTTACTCACAACGTCCCAGTTGGACTCGATGATGCCATCAGGGTCCATTCCCGGAGGCCCATCGTATGTGGGTTGTTCACTTTCACTAGGGCCATTTTTTGAATCTCCTGGCCATTGATCATCATTTCTGAAACAGATAATATATTATTAATTCTAAAAATACCAATGTTTATGAATTATTATGTTGGTTTAATAAAATGATGAGATGCAAATCACAAAAAATATATATTTTTACATATGTTTCACTACATTATTTTTATAATAAAGATATGTAATCAAAGAATAGCATATAAGCATTTCTTATAAACTAAATTATAAACATTAAAATCACAGAAATACATTTTAAAAAAAAGCATACTTAAGAGCATGATGGATTGTATACTATGACCTGACTGGATAGAATACACAATTTTTTTCTAGGAATAAAAATGTGAAAAAATTTCAGATAAAACAATTTTAGCAATTTTGTAACTATTTTTGAACAATAGAAATATGAAATTTTTACATAAAATTTTTTACTTTTCATGTTTCCAATTATTGGGAAAAATTACATGATCACCACTATGTGGAGAAATTGATAATATTAGTCATGATAATCATGCGATGACAAATCACTTTAAAATCAACGTGACCTTGAGAACCGAAGTTTTAAATTAATTTTATAAAGCGCATATATCGAAATTTTACACAAATTAGATATAATTTAACAGCCAATTAAGTTTTTGAGTACTGCACAAATAAACACGACAAATTCGACCGGAGCGAAGTCGGGTTCGTGCGGAGTTCGGCATAAAAATTGCATTTAGTACGAACGACTAACTTGACAGTGACTCACGCGGAAGCGTGGCCGAAAAGATACGAAACGTGTTGCTTCTAGCCGCAAGCCAAGTATGCAAAACACCATGCTTTTAAGCTATGCGCGGCGCGCCTGGTTGCAGTTACGATGCTCGAACTGATTTTTCAACGAAAATCGTACGAAAAACGCTATTTTATTACGTAATTCCGGAGCGATAGAAAAACGTGTTTAGCCTGTCGAGTGGCGGACACGGGGAAAGCTTCACCGCACGAGAACGCCGTCGGGACATACTTCGATGGCGAAATCGTGGGAAACATCCGCCCCGGATAAATCTATCGGGGTTTTCGCCGTTACGGCCACGCGACAAGGAGGTTAAGATAAGCTACGGAAGCGGCTCACGATCACCGTTAATCTCCCGCGAGCAATGTGACAAAAACGAATGGCACGCCATGTTGTCAGTCTCGTGTCCCGTACGTTCCGTCCCGATTGCGGCACTATTTTTCGCAGTCGTATTTTAACTCGCTAGGCGTGAAAATTCACGCAGCACGAAATCAGCAACAATAGCAGCCGTACGGAGATTTTCAAGCACATGGAAACGCGAAAACGGTTCGCCGTTAAGCTAGAAAAGACCGAACTTACCGCCGTTCAGAAGTATGCGACATGTTCCACTCACGGGAGGACAACGGAAAGGAAGAGTGTGGAATGGTTCGTATGGCGTCACGGAGAGTATTCTCGGCGATTGCCGCACTATGGCGCTGCTAACGGTGCCGGGGAAATTTCGACGTTTTTATAGGCGCACAAGATTGCTATCGGCCAGATCTGTTGGGGATAGAGCCAATTAGCGTTGCAAACATTCGTAAGTGAGGGGAGAATTTGTTTCACGGATACAAAAATTTTCAAGGTATTTCGTTTATCGACAGTTATTGCGCATGACCGGACATGATGTTTACCCATAGTAACTTGCGTCACTATAATAGAGTTTTGTGCGGCAAATACGAATGCTTGAATACATTTTGGACATTCCAATTTTTTAAGTTTTCTACACAGTCAATAGAAAATAAAATATGAAAATGACGAAGTCTCTATGATGGACATTAGATGTAATATACAGTTATTGCGCTAGAGACAAAATAATTTAAAATTATTAGATTTCCTATAACTTACTAAATATAATATACATTAAACGTATATAAAACAGATGTTTCCTTATTTGAAGTTTATATGTTGTATATGTGTATTAAATAAATGGTATACTGCATAATGAACATATATATTTTTTGTATTTTATTACACATTATAAATCTGTCATTATATAAAGATCTTCAGTCTTACTCAACTTATAAATAAATCATTTATAATATACAATATAGATAATATAATAAATCTCTCTTTATGTGACCCCTATACCAAAAATTTTCATTAAATAAATTCACACTTGCAATTTTAACAGAATAATACTTTTATATTTTCTACAACTGGTATTCATTTAGTTTGGAGAGTATCTTTATGAATCAAAATATATAGAGCTATACATATTCACATGAAAGCACAGCCAAGAATTAGAAACATTATTGCAATTGGAAAAATAACGTATGCACCCATTCGCGGATGGCATGTAGAAATCAGCATACTAACATCATCCATTTCACTGTGCTCTATGCCATCTCTAGTTGGGATCTCAACAATCACTCTGGCCGACGATAACATATTTAAAGAAAATGAGCATTCGGTTTGATTAATACACGATTTGGTTATATTCTCATACTGAAAAGTCGGCTTATATATATCGAAGAGCGCATAAATATCATTGGATACGATGTCATTATCGCTGTAGAAAATATAATAATAATAGCCGTTATCTTCAACGTGGTGACTTGTTTGTGTATGTTTACCACCAATTAAATAGCTAATATTAGTACATTGGCTAGAAGGATCGAACTCGTGTGCTAATAATATTGATCCGCCATAACAATTAAATAAGTCATATTCGAAACTAGAAAGGGACGACGCCTCATTGGATTCAGACATATTTTTATCGGCATTACCTCCGTGTCTAATGCCTTGATCTAGCAATGATGGCTCTATGAGTTCTCGACTTCTTTTGATTCTTTCGATGTTCAGTCTGCTACTTTCCATCTCCGTCACTCGTTTATTCATATCTTTTTCGCTGAATGAATATGAATACAATATTTGTTTTAATTTTTTTACACGCATTTTTCTGGATCGATTTTGAATATTTTTTTTATCGTTTGTTATTCTTTTCCTCCTGTTCTTCTTCGTATTACGTTGTCTATTCGTAGCATATCTCGCTTCTCTAGTGTTGATTACTGCTGCTGTTCGAGAACTGTTTTTATATTTGTGAATGTAAAGGGTCGCCTTATTATACCATATCTCTCCTTTACTTTCACTTTCTGAAGCTATTGAATTTGGATGTGTCTTTGTATTTTTTATATTATCTGTTGTAGAAACTTCAAAATCTCTCTCTAAAAGATCTTTAGAATTTACATTCGCATGTGATTGTGTATTATTATTATTATGCATTTGAACAGTCTCGAATATTTCACTAGAATCAATCTCTTGCGCATTTGATTCATATATTATTTTAACTTGTTTATTGGCACCTGGCATAAAAAATGTTTGTTCCTTCTCATTGTTGTGTTGCAACAAGTCACAAGTTTGTAAATTCCTTTCTCCTTTCACCACTAATATAGAAGCTCCTTCAAACCTAAATTAATACTGTTTTTATATAAATATGTTATGCATACAAATTAATAAAAAATATATTTATAGACAGTAACCTGGTAAAAAAAGTTTATAGAGAACAATAGAATAAAATTATATCGTTCTATTGTTTTTAATATGGATTTTGGTTCGTGAATTCACAAATGTGAATAGTATTCTATTGTATACAATAGAATATAATAGATAGTGATAGAATTTCTGTCGTCAGTTTCCTATATAATATAAATAGAATCCGATTCTTATAGAACCAGATAAAATACGATAGGATTTATATCTGATGCTCGCGAATGTTGACTCTTGCGAACAATAGAGCTTATAGAAAACAATACAAATTGATAAAAATTCTATTGTTCTCAATCGTTCTCTATCAACTTTTTTTACCAGGGTAACTTCAACATATAACATATAATAATTCATTTATATTTCTTACTTTGCTTACCTTGAACACACAGAGAGAACTACAGTCGCTCCTTTTAGTAAATAAAATCCCCAATATTCTAATGTGTCATCTGGCAAACTCATGCTTTTTTTCAGCCTTATATGTTTTCGATATGATGTTACTTCTGGTCGTTGTGTCATTTGAAAAGCATTGAAGGTACCATTCATCTGTATTGTATGTTCCTATAAAAATACAATATTTTGTAAAATACCGTATGACAATGTCATACAACCTGATTAAAAGACAATTGATATTAATAATATGTAATGTTAATTCTTATGTAATATTATACTGATCTGTATCAATTAATGTTATCCTACATAATATTTTAAAAATATAAAGGTTTTTAGTGTTGTTTGATATCAAGTACATAATAACAAAAGTGATAAATTTAAATAATATATTCCTTCTTACTGAACAAAATATAGACGAAACTCCATCGTTGATTTCCATAATATCAGATTCTGTTACAGCATATGCAACATCTGCATAGAGACTATGCCGTAGATATAGAGGAATTATTAAAAGTGTAACTGGTAAGATAACTATCATTGTGCAGAAAACTAATATTCTTCTGATACCGTGCATTTTTATTATGTCTACAGAAAATGCAATGTTAGAGAATATGATTACCATTAGTTGGAAGCAGAAATTATTTGTATATACAAAACATATTTTATATATGTCTTAATAAAGCTGATGTAATGCTACATATTAAATATTTATCTAAGTATATATGCACAGATTCTTAAATACTAATACGACTAAATGTTATCTTACATAGAAAACAAAAAAACATTTTTACATTCAGAGATAATTAAACATATGCATATACATATATACATATATCCACAGAATATGTGCAACATGCATCTAAAAGATTATTATATTGAAATTAACGTAATAATGTATCAAATAAAATTTATAAGAGAAATTCTTTTTCTATATGCCACCAATTTGTGATTATATTTTATTGCATGTTATACTTAATTAATATTTTGGAGGTTATGTTCCTAATTTGTCTTTAAAAATATTTTAATTAAACTTCCCTTACATTTACGAATATCACCAATTATAATCCACAAACTTAGCACATATATTATAAAACATAAAATTATCATATATAATAAAACATGTAACATATATTTAGGTGGTATACCTACTTATAAATACAAGATAAAAATAGTATGTTGATTTCTTTTTAAACACATATATTTCTCTTTTTATGAAAGAAATAATTACATGTTTCTATCAAATCATTATTTATAAAGATTTCATAGCTTTATGATACATGTTGTAATCACACATTAATATTATTTGTTAAATGCTAGTAGAAGGTTAAGCATCAATAAGATTACAGATAAAAACTGAGCTTTATCAACTTTTAGGTAAACATTTGATAAGGGAAATACATGACTAAGATTCAGCTGTTATCATGACTTATCTATAACTATGATATGTAAAAGATATATAAATGATATACAAGATGACACAAGACATACAAATGTATGAAAGTAGAGCATGACAAATCTGAATACAAAGATTCTTGGCACTTTCTAAACTACGTAAAATTTCGAGATATTATTCAAAAATATTGATAAATCCATGGACATAGTATGCATGGATTCCGAATGTCCTATGTTCTGTCGTCTAATAGAGTGAAGCCAACATCTAGAAAGAGCTAGAATAGAGGGGCTATAGTTTTCTTCCTATTTTGTCACTTTTTTGTTGCACGTGCATCCATTTCTCGTTTCCATAATATTATAGAGTGCAACAGTACTCCGACTAGACTGGTAAGTAAAAGTCTTACTTAAATCTTATTGCACACTTTGTCTGTGCAGAAAGAGACAGAGAACAGAGGAGCTATACATACTGGCTTCTCTTTTCTGGCCGAATATGGGGTCCATGGATGGATCCATATACTACGTCTATGGATAAATCAGAGTGCACGATATTATGGAATGGATTCTATAAATAAGATCTCATCAAAAATATCTGAAATGCGACTAAATAGGTCCTCATGTTCAAGTTGATATGTTCTATCTTTACATGTGATTTTGTATGTCTTGTGTTTTAGACTGCATACATATATATGAATTATATTTCTATTATATTATTGCATGTTTAAATGCATGGTAATATTACTAGTAAATTATAGACATAATTTGAATGTATTTATATAATTATTAAAATTCAATATATGTACATATGTAAATATACAATTTATGTTTAGAACAATCATTCTCTAATATATTAAAATATTGTACTTCCATTTTGATGTTCTGCATAAAAAGAAAAAAATATATAAAAATATGTGCATATATAACTTACTTTTTTGTAACAAAAGAACAATTGCTATAAGTATAGCAAGTATTTATACTTAAAAAGTAATACTAGCTATTGACTTATAGTAATCATCCTTTGTAGCAGTGTGAAGTTCAGATATATCAATCTGATTAAATATAATTTTCCCAAATAGTGTATTCTCGTAAATCTGAAACAAAATACACATAATATGAATATTATATATACTTTTATACTACTGATCTTTTTAAATTATTTATATAAAATGTAGTTTTTTTATATAAAAATATATATTGTATTACCTTCAGTATTTCACTCGCATTAAATCTATCTTTATATGCTTGTTTATCATCTTTAAATGATGTATTCATTACAGTCATGTGCAACTTAACTCTTTCATATTTCTTTTCTATTAAACCTAAAATTAGTAGTTATTAATTATTTTAATTTTATATAAACAATATTAATATAAGTAATATTTTCATAAATGCATGTTTTACAAGATTACATAGATTACAATACTTAAGAAATCTATATAATACAAATTATTATATTTTTATAGACATTATATGTAGTAAAAAATATTTAATTCTATATGACAAATATTATTTACCTATTTGTATAAAGTAATCAGCAACTTTATCAACGAGTTCTTGTAATTTTTCATTGTGGGTAACTTGTGCAAATAAAATATTAACCTCAGCAGGATCATCATTCATACATGCAACTCCTTGTAAATGTATATTTAGTGGTCCAACTTTTTCAAGGATAGGGCTGCAATAAATTATACAATTATGTTACCCAAGATTTTTAAAATATTGCTCACATAATATTCGGTATAATTTGTCATATATTTACGGTATAAAATTATTATTTTGATAAAAATGATAATATACATTATATTTAATTAAGAATACAAGTTTATCATTATTTACAGATCAAAATGTGTTATCTTACTTTATGATATTTTCTTTACAATTCCTAAGAGCATTAACAGCTTGTTCTTTCTCATTATCATCAAGTAATTTAAGCATTCCAATGGTAAGGTGCAACTTGGATGATGTTTGGAATAGTGATTCATCAATATTATATGTAGCTTTGTCATATTTCTCCAATATATCATTTTTAAAGGAATTATATTTATCAATTATTTTTTTTGTATTTAATGGTATTGATAAAAAATGTGTATAACGTATTTTCTTCCTTGAAGTTTCCACTAATAAATCAATTCTATGTCTTGCTGATGCTACAGCTTTACGATCTCGTGCAGTAATAACTATGAACATATGTAACATTAAGAAATTACAAATTGTATAAAATAATCGTTTAAATTGTTCTTAGTAATATAGAATTATTTTTACCAATGTTTCCATCTTTTTCCTTCTTTGGTACATTTATAGTAGTTTTTGTCTCAACTTCTAATTTTTTAAGTGTTGTACCTTTTGCACCAATTATATATGAATAGAAGACTCTAGAATGATATAAGAGCAAAATAATCAATTAATATTCTATATTTTGTTCAATATTTCAAGTAATATATTAAAAAAAATATTTACTTAGGCACATAAAAGCTATGTTTAAAACATGTATCATGAGCTATTATTTCTATATCACTTTCAAGTTCTTCCTCTGAACAAACTAATTCTTTATCTTCCATATATGGGGCTGATGTATGAATGCTTTTCCACGCACTACTTTCATAAAATCTATAGCATCTTCCACTAACCCAAATTAATTCTGGTTCTAATATGTCCATTACATGAAAAGCAAAATATTTTATATGAAGATTCCTAAAATTTGAATCAATTAATTTTACATTAATAATTGTCACATTGTTACTTAAGAATATCATTTAAATCAAAACAGTACCTAACCTGTTTAATGCATTTAACATACGGTACATTCTGTTAAATTGTTGAATTGTTTACCTGTGCTCGTAGAATAATGAATTTATAATGTATTTTTCTTCTTTTTTGACGAACTTTACTGATAATTAAAGAAATTCTCTCCTCCCAATAAACTTTTACTATCTACTGAAAAATAAAAATAGCAGCTCCTATAGAACATGACAACTCTTGTCACATAGCAAGAAACGACGCAATTACCAATCAAATCGTTACTTTTCCGTAAGATCGAAAATTTCACTGGCTACTGTACAATAAAACAGGAGAATAAAGTACATTATACTTTTCTGATTGTAGATAAAAAGTGTAGATGAACGCGCCATCTCTAAATTTCTGACACAACTATTTCTCTGAAGGCTACATCCAAAAAATGAACATATCTTGATTCTTTTCCAAGTTATTTTTTCAGATCACACCCCCCCCTCCCCCCTGTCTAGATACTGTATATTGTGATTGTTTATTAAAGAATTGAAGACATTATGCAATTATTCATGAATTCTTTCAAATCTCAACAAAGAAATTTGTACAAACTTTTTAATATATAAAATTTTCTTAACAACTTTATCTAAAAAATAGACCTTTTCACGATCTCTATACCAAAATATTCCTTTATTATATGTATATTTCTCATTCTGCCCAATATTGTTGTTAATCTACTTAAAAACTACGTTTTACATACTTAGATTATAATAAGTCCTAAAGAGAGAGTTATCATCATAATGCGTAGTATGTAAATGGGCATAATAAAAAAAAATATTAAACTGGTAAAAAAATTGATAGAGAACGATCGAATAAAAATAACCATTTTCTATCGTTTTGAATATGGATTTTGGTTCGTGAATTTACAAAATGTGAATAGTATTCTATCGTATACAATAGAATACAATAGATAGTAATAGAATTTCTATCATTAGTTTACTATAGAATACAAAATCGGATATAATCAGATAAAATACGATAGGATTTATATTTGAACTTGCGAACGTGAACGATACTTAAAAAAAAGATACTTAAAGAAAATGATTCAAATTGATAACGCTATCAATTTGAATCGTTTTCTTTAAGCTGTATCGTTCACGCTCGTAAGTTCAGATATGAATTCTATCGTATTTTATCTGGTTATCCCCGATTTTGTATTCTATAGAAAACTAACGATAGAAATTCTATTACTATCTATTGTATTCTATTGTATATGATAGAATATTATTCACATTTTGTAAATTTATGAACTAAAATCAATATTCAAAACGATAGAAAATGATTATTTTTATTCTATCGTTCTTTATAATTTTTTTTACCAGGGCAATCAAGAAATAATAATTACTACAATAAACATAGAGTTCTTTTTATTTGATACCTTACATTGCTTTTGTTTCGAAGATCACGCATCACAGAATCAATTTTTGTACCATGTATAGACAAAATATGTTGGTAATATAAAGTTAAATTTATAAATGCAAGATTTATCCTTCCACATTGTTTAGTTTTTGTAAATGTTACACAAGCCAAAAAAGCACATACAACAACTCAGTATGAAGCAGTTAAAAATTTATGTATAATGTATTATTTACAAGAGGTCATCTCGTAATTATATAAATAAATATTGGCTGAATATTCACTACAAGATAAATATTGAAAAAGGTAGGTCAAATATAGTATCTTATCCAAGTATGTATTTTACATTGTATTGGCATATAAGTTACAATATTTATAAAAGATACAACATGCGTAGTCAGCATGTAAATGAATGTATATTGAAATACACACACAAAGAATTGTGGGAAATTAAAAATTTGCTAATTTATTAATCACTAAATCATGAAAACTTTTATCACGCATATACAAACTTGCCTATTTTACAATAATGCAATTACAAATGTGTATTATCTACATACGAGCATTACCTAAATATATGTCATAGTAGACAAAGAGCCCGTGCAATAAATAACAATTTCGTTTTATAAATTACCCAATTAATCTTCGTCTGTACCTTTCTGATACACTGCGCCGAATTTGCTCATGTACTTACGTACAAAGTCTTTTGCTTTGTGCTTAACGTTCTCATTGCATTGCAACTCATCAACACTTTTACAATGTTTTAATTCCTTTGCGAGTACAAAATGTGTTAGCTATAACAGAATACACAGAATGTATTAGAAACAAGAAGTAAAAATAGAATCAACGGGCTTAGCCGTGAGCCAAATTTGTCGTATTAAAATAAAATCAACATATACCTTTCTGGCTAGATGCTTAAAATCTTCAGTATTAGTTATTCTGCCTTGTCTGCAGTCATTCTTTCTATACGGATTTAAAAAGTGCACCATTACATTAGCCATATTTATTCTAAATGTATCCTTAATTTTTCTTTCGGACATAGGAGACACTTCGGCTGATGTCGATTGCAACTTGCTCAAACCATGTCGCGAATGAGATTTCGATTTGTTACTTCGTCGATGTTTTCTTAACTTTTCAACATGGTCTTTCAATTTTGCTCTTTCCTTTTGCCGTCGTAATTTTTCTTTTATTTCTTTATAAACCTTGTGATCAATACGATCCTCTTCCCTACGTGGCTGTAATGTAAATAACATAGATTGCTTAAAATTGCCGAAAATAAAATGAAAATTTTGAACTCTACATTTTGAGAAATTTTAAATAAATATATAATAATTAAAATATAAATATGTAATAATTAATATATAAAATAAAAAATCAATTTTATAATTTATTTTGTTTATTATAATTTATTAATATATTAACGTAAGACACACACAAATATGTATATAACATAACTAAACATTAAAAATAAACGTATACTCACACTAATAATCCTTTCTTGTACCAGTCCTTCTCTTCTTTTTTTAGGCTCGGTAAACGGCAGTGAACTTCCAGTCAAATTGTGACCACCTAACTTTTTAGATGTATTTGACTTAGATGTGCCTGAAGGACTTTCTGTTGAAACATTGCTGATCTCTGTATCGTCATTCCTTTGATCTTCGGTATGATCGTCATCGAGATCTTCATAATCTTCATTCGACGAGCTCGACTCTTCACTAGATTCCGAAGTAGACGAAGAGTCTGGTTGTACTCCGATATGATCAGGTGGCGGAGGTAGCCACTGCGATATTCTTTCCTTCACATGGTAATAGTACGTTCTACCTCTGCTATCTGTTGCACTCTTCCATTTCGGTGGCAAATCTATCGGCGGAACTTCAGGTTGCGGCGGTCGGTTTTCCGTAGATGTAAATTGTTGATCAGCGGGCTTCTCGATGTGATTATAAAGGGGTGTTTGAATTGATATTGGTGGTGTTCCACCAACAGACACTAAATTATTTGAAAGAGGTAGTTGTCCCTCAGAATACGGTTGTGGATGTGATATCAAAGAGTAGGAAGATGTTGTCTGATTGAACACAGTTGTCTGACTTAATGAATAAGCTACTGGTGGCACACCAGGTGAGATGCCACTTGTAATGCCAGATGATATATCAGTTGTTATTGTTGATGGTAGTACATGAGAAGTCTGGCCTATTATACTAGTAGATTGAGGGCCTACATATACAGGTGTACACTGTTGTGTTACTTCTCCTCCATCTATAAGAATATTACACTCTATAATATATAAAACAATTGATATATGCCAATAAAACAATAAAAATGTCAATATTTACGTAGAATTTGCTCATTACATTTGTATATTACCTTGAGTGGAATAATGTTGCCATTGACCCAATGACGGATTATAAAAAACAGGATAACCTGTTTGAGGATCAACCATGGCAGTGGTATGGGGATCTATACCCAATGCCATACATCTGTTCTCGTGTTCTTGCCACGATTCTTGTTGTTGACGACGTTGCCTTTCCTCCTCTTCCTTCGCGACTTGCAGTGCAAATAATTGCCTACGTTCATATTTTGTCATCCGTGGTATAGGAACTAGGCTACTTCGTTCTTCTACTCTCTTCTCTTTTATTCTACTGTGTTCAGTTTCTGGAGATTCTCGTCCTCGTCTTCTGTCACCGCGTTTATCCATTTCGCTTCGACTATATCTATCAGATCTATGTCTAAAAATTTATGAAATTAATTGAGACAGAACAATTCGAAGAAATAGTCACAAATATCAAACATATTCGTAAAAACTATTCTCTACACTCCTAAACTAAGAAAAAATGTTTAATAGTAGATTTACATAGGTCCAATAATAGGTTCTTTGGCTCTAAGATACTTAATAGTTGAATGCTTAAAACTTAATACTTAAAGACATTATGATAAATATTTAAAGTAACTGCTAAACAATTTCTCAATTAATGTTTAAACTTATTAAACTTTTTTACTTTTTGTATATAATATAAAAGAATGTTTAACTTTTTTATTTACACCATAGTAGAATATTTTCATTAAGTATACAAAAATACATACCTATCATAAGATGTTCCTCTCTTGTCTTCTTTTTCCAATTCTTCTCTATATCCGCGATCTATAATAAAATTAAAATAATTTTAAATTAACATTAATGAATGAGTTTTTTGGGGCTTTAAATACTATTTATATTTTATTAAAATTATATATATATAACCTGCTTCTCTTTCATGCTCCTTCATTTGTTCAATCCTTTCTTTTTTTGGTATTCTGAAAACTTCTTTAAGATTGGACCACTCAGCAAGAAGACTAGAAGCTAAATCAGGAATAAGAGTTTGTTCTGGAGTTTCTAATTTAATTTCGTCAACTGCCAAACAACTTTCAATATTATTATTGCGTTTATCTGGAATGTCATTCAAATGTTCAGGACTTTTCTTTTCGTTGCTGTCAGAATTACTGCTTAAGTCTTCGCACGTCATCCTCGATTTAACCTGATCGTCTTCTGGAGAATCGGCATTTGGAGAAAGATATAAACCTTTCGCCCATTTCTCGATTACGCCATATATCTTACTATCCATTAACATTGTCTTGTTAGGTATTGGCAGTGTATTTAAAGTTTTCAACACTTCTAAGCGAAATTGTTGAGCTTCTTCTGTATCATTCGTTGCGATATCCATAACGTAACTCCAAATTAAACGTAAACCGTGATAATCCAGAAATAATCTTCGACACGGTTGCACGCCACTTTGTATAAGACGTAGTAAACGCGTTCTGTGTTCTAGTTCTCTGCTACGAACCATTAGTCGGCTTAATGTCAATGTGTGCGCACGGTTTTTCAAGCCACCCGAACACAGCTTGTCTATTTCTTCTTCCAACTAAAATAAAACACAAAAAGATAAAATAAAAAAAAAAAAAACTACTTATCAACTCTAGGATATAGTATTAGTAATATTATCCATTGCACAATGCTCACATCTTCATCCTCCATATAATCAGTAGGTTTCTTCTCCTCTTTCTTCTTTTTTATATCCTTTTCGCGTTTTTCTTTCTTTTCAATCTTCTCCTTCTCCTCTTCAGGTGTTTCACCTATCCAACCTCGACAATTTGGTGCTTCGCAATAACACTTTTGAGCTTCTTTCCTAATGTTTAAATGTAAAAAAAATGCCACTCAAAAATAGAAACTGGTACAGACTTATATATATATATATGTGTGTGTGTGTGTGTGTGTGTGTGTGTGTGTGTGTGTGCGTATAATATACAAATACTGGTTTTGTAATTATTAATAAAAAAATATATAATCAAGAAATATACCCATAACGTTGAAAATGGTAGTCAAATGTAATTTCTTCACCAGTAGCTATAAATTTTTTATTAAAAAATCCTATTCGTAATTCCCCATTCACTGTCCACTGAAAATAATTGATACAACATATATCATTGTATGTTTGAATATATAAAAAATTACTTCAATTAGTTGATAGCATAATGTAGACGCTTACCTTCTGTGTCTCCGCATTTGGATCACAACTGTGATTGATGAATCTAGATATATTTCCTTTCATTGTAGCATCTATAATCTGATCAGATTTTAATGCCATGAAATAGTAATGTCTGTTTTTATCTTTAGAATACTCTTTTGCTCTACGTTTAAAATCCTTTGGATCCACAACCTCACCTACATATTCCATTATAAACTCGCCTCTGCAATTGTAAAAATAACATGAAAATAGAAAATTTTAATGGAAAATTCGATTTTTACCATATTTTATGAGAATCTCTATATATTTTTTAATAGCTTAAAATGTTACTTACGCTACTATATCAACAATAGCGCGTAATCCAAAACCTTTTTTCTCCGTGCGGAATACTTCACACTTAGCATATTCACAATTTTGAAATCTCTTATTTGTACATCTGTCCCCTACCACACATCTAGGTCCGCTATAATATATAAACAAGAAAAAATATATTATTCTATCTGCAAAATTTATTTTTATTATTGTACTATATTAATTTACTAATTATATTTATTTATCTCTAAAAAACATTATTCCTATCCTTTGCTTTAAATATCTCTTTTGTACAAAATTTACAAACGTAAATTATAAAATATTGAATATACACTTTATATTATAAAAATGAATACTTACCACTCTATCATAAGAAGTCTATTAAGGCAATCTTCCCCACAACCAAGTTCCCCTCTCTCAATTTCTTCTTCAGTTAAGAAACAGTCACATACCATTCTCTTAGTTTCCTTGTTCGTATATCTAACAACAAACATTAGAAATATGTAATATCTTATCTATGTACAAAATAATTGTCTACTACGAAAAACAATATTTATACATACAACGGAAAATATCATTAATATATTAGTTGATTTTTATAACTCAATTTATATTATTTTATGCGCGTACCTTTCAGTAAGATATAAATTTTCACTCAAGTGCTCAAACTGACTCAGTCTTTCTTCCATTTCCCTATCCTGTGTTTCAAGAACCATTGGTAAAGGAATCTTTGCTCCAATAGCTTTTGAGATTTGTGCTATTGTTGAAACAGTAGAAACGTTATTAGATGTTGATAATGTGTCTTTAACTTGCTCCATTTCTATACTAGCTTTTATATTTGTGCTAGTATATTTCGATTCTGAAGATGTAGACTCTCCTGCACAAATAGGTACAGAACGTCCTGATTCAGATAATGGTGCAATAGATGACCCAAGCATTGATACAGTAGTAGTAAGATATCCAAATCCTGCACTGGAACTTCCCATCTCGAGCTCGCTTGATCTTCGCCAGCGAGATTTTACTTTAACCGGCTTTGAAGAATCAGAATCGTATCCTGTAGTGTTATAACTAGTACTTAACGGAGCTAAAGTATCAATCGACGTCGATATCTTGTTAGAATTATTTTCCTTATCACATTGCGCTTCGGAGTTATCTATTTTTATTTCCTGAATTATTGCAGGATTTATATTATTAACTACTTTTTCTTTTTCTTGCTGTAAAGTTGTTTTCGAAGTGTCTATGTTAGGCTTTGTAACCAAGCCACGTCCACGAGATCTGAAAATAAGTTAATTTTCCTACGTTGAACTTTTGATTAAAAAATTTAAGAGCACTCATTCACAAATTATATTACTTAACATAAACATAATATTTCAATTCATTAATATGCAATTTCATTGAAATATATAATTATAGCAAAAAGTAATCTAAATATTTTTACTCTATTAATTTCATATATTAATTTTTATATATAATTTTAATATATCAATAATATTAATATTTATATATCATTAATTTTAATATATTAATTAATTTATTAATTTAATTATATCAAATTAAATATTGTAATAATTTAATTATTATATATCAATAATAAATTAATTTTTATATATCAATAATAAATAATATGCACTTATACCTTTGCTTCATTAATCCAATAGATCGAATTCTACTGCTTCGTCTTACACCCGAACTGTTTGAGCCACTTTCAGAACCTGTTGTATCTGTGCTTCCACTACGACTTCTGAATTCAACTCTTTTGTCAATATCATTTGCATTACTTGCTACATTTTTTACATCAAGCTCCCGAGTTTTACAATTGGTTAGTGACAATAGAGTATCGTTACTATTTTCACTGCTACTACATAGCTTCATATCTTCATTATCAACTTTGTTGTTGTCTCCTTCACTATCTTGTAATTCATCAATAATTCCTAGATGTTCAGTATTCTTTTGCTGACTCGTATTTTTCTTATCTTGTATAATTTTCGATTTCATTGAAACTTGATCTGTAAATTGTATTTTATCATTACAAGAATCGGACTTTAAAATATCTTCTTCTTGAGGTTTTATTATATTATTGGGCTCTATAGCTTTCGAAAATATGTCTGTAACGTGAGAGCTGACAGAATTATTTGGACGATGCAGTTGCTCCATTTTATCTAATATCGACGAACTACTTTCGTCGTCAATATTTACCGGTGACAATTTTTCTACATTTAGTGGAGTTTGTACTGGAGAGTCAATACTTTCCATGCTAGAAAGATCATTCACCAACTTTTGTATTTCCTTTGAACATTCACTTATCTGCATATCTGCCAGTTTATCTAGTTTGGAAACTGTATCTTCTTTTGACAAATCTTTATACACACTTTTTGTTTGTGAGTCTTTGCTTTCCCATGTAGAGTTATCTTCCAACATCTCGGTGGTGGAATCAGAATAATCCTTGACAGAACATATTTGAACTTTACCAGACATTGATTCTGAAATTTCCTCTCTTATTTCATCATAAATTGTTTTGCCACTCTTTTGCTTCTTACCAGCTTGATCTTCTAATACTGTTTTTTTTTTATTAACATATGGTTTGTCTACATTGGAATCTGTAACATTACATGTCTCACTGCTTGATTCATCTGTATGTATCATTGATATGGAATTTTCTGGTGCATTGGTACACACACTATTAACATTTTCTCGAATAACATGATACTCATCGTTTGAAATATTTTCAGATTTAGGTGTCATCACCATAGATTTAGTACCATCCTCATTTTGTATCACAGTAAATTCCACAAAATCCTTGCTTTCCAAATTAGTTTCATTCATAAGTAATACTTCCTCAACCATAACATTATCTTGTGATAAATTAGCACCATCTTCTTCCACTTCCATTTCTTCACAGATTATAGTTTCCTCTATATCTTCTGACCATACTTCCATCTCGGTTGATACTGGGGCAGATAAGGATTCATTGGCTAGATCTGTGTTACCAACTACAACCTGTCGTACATCCTCCGGGCTAAGTTTTTCTGATTTACTAATTATGTTATCTGTATCATCTTGGCTGTCACTTTCTCCTGCATCTCGTTTGCATTGTGAAACATCATATATAGTACTCTCGTCATTAATAGTTTCAATGTTATTAGAAGTGCCTTTATGTTTCCTATGCTTCTTCTGAGAATTTTGATTTTTCTTTAATGGAACTTGACTATAATCTTCATTGGTAGATTTAGAATCGTCGGAATTGTTTAAGCAAGATGTCTGTGAAATCTCTCCATTTTTCTTCTCTTCTAACTGTTTCTTGGCTATTTGTCTATTAGATTTACGTACAGGTGTATATTTATGGGATGGTTTTACAGATGCTTTAACATCAGTTTTTCGCCTGCGTGCCATTTTGATTCCATATACACTCTCAGTCTGAAATAATTAAAATCAGAATACAATTTGTTGCAAAAACTGATAACATGTTTATTTTTTACACAAAATACACATGTGATAAATAAAATATTCTAAATTATGTACATATATACATATCTCAATATTATGTTATTTGTACCAAAAGATGATCAGTCCCTATAAACTATAAAACTTAATTAAAAAACAAAATATATAACAGAATATAGAATATTAAATATTTTTCATTTAAAAAATTAGAGAATTTCACTGAAAAACAACAATATGCAACACTCATGCATGTTATATTAATTCCTAGGAACCTACTGGTCTTTCGAGTTGATAACCTATTATAAAGGAAATATTCCATCAAAATTACTGATTTTTGTGAAGTCAAAAGGTCCCTATACATTGCATTTTACACATCTATTTATTAGATAAACAATAATAAGAACCACAGCTTACTCACCGTATGCTTCTAAAACCGTGTTCTGTGATTCTAAAGTAACATTCATTATTTGTGAGATATATCAATACACACTCTCAAATAAACACTGCCTGTTAGTTCTCCAAATTATCAACATATCCACGATTCATCAACGTTATTCGCTAAAACGTTGATACAACTAGGCTAACTTATGAGAAACTTCGGCAAATCTACGAGTGATTATAAAATTTGTTCTCGATGATGCACAACTGTATGATGCACGTGTATCGAGCTCTTTCCCGTCGATCAGAATCTAACACACTCTCTCGCAGTACTGGACGAAATCACTGGACAACGTTCGTCACGTTCTAGCACTCACTCGGAAACTCGTTGATCCCGCGGTAACTCGGTGATCTCGTGGCTTCCCGTTGACTCTTGCACCGATTCGTGATTCTCATCCAACATGCACGAGTCGCGCCGACGAGAGATCCATCGTTAAAATATACGAAGAACTCGTGTATGGAAGTGTACACCGTCGATGTGCATTCTAAACGTATACACCATCGCCACTGAGCATCGTCTCGTCCCTCGTCTTGCCGTGTTGCGAGCGAAATAGCAGCGCTATCAACGACGTGCGGTGGAAGCGTCGCGAGCTCGTCTCTCGTAAGTGTTAAGACGCTATGACACGCTGCAAGTACCACGAAACATCATTGTTACGCCGTATCCATACTCAGTACGTAGCAGTCGCGGTAAACGACCAAACTGCACTTACATAGCTTATTCTAACTGTGAGAATATAATTGTTCGCAGTAACAAGTATCGACAAGAAGAACGGTCGCGTGAAGGTTCTGTTTCAGACGCGTGACCATCGTTTACAATTGACAATGCAGAACAACCATTGATGCTCTGACGTTTATCCGTGTATCAACCATCAACATTTCTACTCTCGTACTATCCACCAGAAGATACAATGGGATCTCAGATTTGACTCAAGGCGAAGACGAGTTTTTTGTTTCAGATGTCTATCTACGACCAATAGCGGCACGAAGCGACTCGGGTCTCCGTAAACTCCACGTCGCCAGTGAAGCGCACGACTTTGATTCCCGACGAAATTAAGCGGAAGAAAGTCACCATCCCGTTTATGCGCGTCTGTTTGACAAAAGTGAGAGAAACTATCGATCATTCTTATTTATAGATGTAATGATAATGCAACGTGTAGAGTAAGAATCATCGAGTTAAAGGTTATCATTTCGCATACGAAGACGGACCTCTCTTTGCTACAATTGCCGTGTTGAGATCGTGTTCGGTCGGACAATAGTTTTTCTTCTTCTTCTTTTTAGATTCGTCTCGTGTCCTTACGGATATGTTTCCTTTGAAGCACAGTATCACGCTTTTCGTATATGCTTGCTATTTTTTCACTCTCCGACGAACGTGTTCTTTTAGTTTCCACAAGAGTCTTAATAAATAACCAAGCTATCTCGTAATCCTCTTCGACGGACAATATTTACTCAACTGTAATGATAACAATCGGATATGATTGGTCTCGTCGTTGTGACTTCGGACTTCAGGAAGTGACAACTTAGGGAATAATGTGTGATCCACATGGTAGCCAATCGTTTGTCTTTCTTACAGAAAATATCTGACTCTTTTTTCAGTGACTTTCGGAACGGCCGAAAATTCCTATGACATTCTTAAGCCTGTATCAGACTGCAATTAAATTTATAGGTTATAACACCTTTATTACTTATACAATATTTAAATAATTTAATTGAATATATATATATATATATATATATATATATATATATATATATATAT